TACGTTCTCAGTGTGTCAGAGAGCGGGTCAGCAGCTCAAGGTGGTGGTCCCGTGGCTCTGAGACTGGGGGGGTGAGTCCACTACTTTTCTGATGTCCAGATGAGAGTGGGGAGGATGCTTCTTTCTCCATGCAGATCCCCAGCGCAGAGCGCACATACTGCGGGTTCTGTGGATGTAAATGGCAGAGTATCTTTTTAAAAATGCATGTGTGTATTATATGTGTATGTAAAAAAAAACAACCTGTTTCTGCAAACAGTAGCCTGGATGCTTTCTGGTATACTAGGCAATACTGTAACTGTGGTAGTTAAAAATCAGGAGCATGAAAATTAACCTTTAAAAAAACCCTCTGTTCCTTAGCAAAGCACTGCTATCCCAAACAGACTGCGTGGGCTTGGGCATTAAAGGAGGGGGGGAAAAAAGATTATAATAAAAAATAGACTGCAGGCATAGAATGAACAGTTGCCGTGACCTTGCCTTTTGTATGCCATTACACAATTCAATGGCAGTCCACTCAAACCTTGCTCTCGATCAATATCCTATTAAAGCAGCACAAAAAGTCTCTATAAACTTAGTGGTTAGCTATGTTTATAAATGGAACTCAGCATAATTAGATGGTCAATAGCAGGCTGTACTTGTAATTTTAAAATGAACATCACACATTTCATATCTGTTGTATTCGGCAAAACCTCTTTGAACCTAATAACACAGTATACAGGAGACAAAGGCCTTGCTAAAAACCTCAGCTACCCTTTCTTTCCTGCCTCAAAACATAGTACATTTCCCTCTGCTTATTAAGTCATAATCTGTGAAGAAAATTATTAGTCAAATGCAGTGTTTCTTATTTAACCTTAAACACAGTGTCAATTTGCTGCAGTGTTACACATGTAATGATCCTTGTTTCATCCATGTCTTGTAAAAACAGTTTAATAAAAGTGGAAAAACAGAAATACGACGCACATTAATAACTACGAGACAGTGCCATATTCCAAGGAAGACAAATGCCAACTTGGCTGGTTTTATTTAGTGGGTTTCCTGTACTCTAATACATTTCCAAAATAAATTCTCCGATCGAATTAAGTCAGAGGGGTTTGGTTAATTTTTCTTGTGTTTTTCTTAACATTTTTGGTTAAGAAAAACACAGGGATTTTAACCTCTCTGAATTAATAAATGGGTGGCAATGGGGATAGCCTGTCAATGGTGCCAGAGCATTCCCCAGAGCTGGGCTTCATCCGGAGCAGAGCCATGGCTCTGTGCTCCCTGCTTGCAGCCCTGATATACCACAGATTGATCAGCCTGGGAGGAGAACTGGTCCAGTGTTTCAGGCAAACTGTCTTCTGCCTCTTCCAAGTGATTGAAATGTATCTCATGTGCATTGGGTTCCTGCGATGTAGACCACCCTGTCAGCTGAAATTGGACCCGTGACCACATCGGTTCACTTAAAAGCTCCACGCACATCAGTCAAGCTAAGGTTTAAATGAAAGGCCCGTTCTTTATCCAGGAAAACACCTTACTCTTCCATCATGTCAGAGGCATGGCTCTATGTCAAATGACATCTTGCTGTAGGCATGGAGCATATTGTTTTGACCCAGAGCTGAAATTTCCAACCTGCCTCTCCTGTTTCAGATGCGGCCTTCAGCCATTTATTGGTATTTTTCTGAAGAACTTTTTTTATGAGCGTTAAAACATCTTTGGTGTGATCAGTAAATCTCAGGCTCTCATTTGTGTATACTTCAGTACAGTAAAGGTATTACAGAAGAGAGGAAATTTCAGCTATGCCAGTGCTCTGGATAGTGCCAAAACATGTTATTGGTACATCAGGCTAAGAGGTTCACGTGTTGGATAATCATATGTTGAAATGGTAAAGCTCAGTTTAGGCAGGGTTTTGCCCAATTTCGATACCTTTGATCCCTCCACCTACTCTCTGGCAGTAGAGTGTTGATGTGGACTCCTGCAAATACACATGAGCGTGACCTTGTCTTCTCATTACTGTTCTGGTTAATGTAAAACGGGTAGGCTGTAAAGTCATCATGAGTGCCCGGAGAAAGAATGTGTAAACCAGATTAAATGTATATACCTTTATGGCATGTTGTCTTGCAGAACAGAAAAGTAAATCTAAGAGCCAAAAACAAAACAGCACGCTTCCTTCAGCCAGAGTCTAAGGCAAGAGTTAGTAGGTGTGGCTCAGGGTGAAACAGCAATAGAAAGCATAGATCACTTTAAGCAAAATTCAGACCGGAAAAGGAAAAGACCTCCTGCTAACTAGAGAAAAGGGAGTTAACTCTTCCCTGGTTGGAGGCTGCACAATGGCAATTTCTGCAGCCAGTTTACAGGAAAGCATTGCTTCAAGAGCAAATTAATTGAGAAAAGAAAGCCCATATGAAAGATAACCAGCTTACATGCCTGAGAAATAAATCGAAAACCCTTTTCCGTTGTGGAAAGTTTACATCTGTGGCACTGCTAAGGTTAGTGACCTTGAGTTAGTTGTAACAGGACAGTCGTTCACTTGCTTGAGCCGCAGGCCTTGTAAATACTCACATTAGCACAGACATTTTAAACATAATTTACACTTGAGCATTTAAAAAAATGTTGTGTTCTTTGACCTGTCCTTTGTTATGTGGCTGTCCTCTTACAGCCTTCATCTTGCTCTTCAAGTATGACAAGGTGTCCTAACACACGGCAAACAAACCCGGTTATTCAAAATGTGTGGACGCCCGAGATTACTTGCTGTTTCCCCTTCTCCTCTGTGGATAGTGTCTGTGCTACCAGCTCTTCCTCAATCCCACCCCACCCTTCTTCAGACTACACGTATTATGTTGAGATCTGCAATCACGCTTCACAAGTTTTTACATAGGGCCAACTTCAAGATTTGGCCAGCGTTGCCCAGGGCTCTGGGGGAGATTAATGGGGTGGGGCAATTTATCAGCACAGGTTTTTCCTCCGTATCTGTCTAAAATAAAACTATTTAATAAATCTTACAATGGCTGGGAAATTCATTGCCCCTTAGAACGAAATGGCGCTTTAATTTAGTGCCTGCCTTTTTATGCTTCTGTTTGGAAAATATTAAGATTAACCTGTAAATTAGGCCTGGGTAGGTCTGAGACGCAGGAGGATTGATCAGCAAAGGGTTTACAAAGCAAAAATCTGTTTGGCAAAGAAGTTGCTGAAAACTGTGGAGTAGATGCTGCAGAGTACCTTTATGATTGATTTCCGTTCAAGTCAGACTGACTGCAGTATGGTCATTTTTCTAACCCATAACTGCTCACACTGCAGCAGTCTGCTATCTGCAGGGTGTCTGAATTATAGCAGTCCATGTCCATGTTACCTTTTACACAAATTACTTACACTGGTTTCTTTTTCCATGCAAATTCATCAGTTTTACAGCCTCTTGTAGCTCCTGTCAGGAAACTAGCAGAAAGCACAAATTGATAAAATGAGTTAATTTTACCATACTTAATTTTTTTCCTTGTTTTAAAGAGCCCATCCTCTCGTATGCTCAGTGCACAGGAAGCATATTATAGTTAAAGGAAGATAACAAAGGATTTGAGTGTTCTTGCCATGAATTATTTCCCAGGTTAATTTCTTTTAATGATCCTGCCAGATTTTCTCAAGTTTTAATAGAAGCATTTACCTCCCAGCGTATGCATTTAAAAGTCCATTGCTGTCCACACTGTTCCTTTTCTGTTTCAAGGACAGACATTTGTAAAAGAGCCTTGTTTCTAGATTGGCAAACAACAGCAAAGTGTCTTTTGGGCATGGTGGGCTAGCCAGAGGGCTAAACAATTGTGTCGATCCTGAGAGGGGCGGTTGCCCAAGATTTGGGCTGAAATACTGGCCTAATTGATACCAGTCGCCGAACTTCCATCAAGCCTGGATTTCACCCTGGATGAGTGGTGCAAGTTAAGGCACCATTTGCTCTTCATTGCCTCACTCCTACCATGGCAAGTGAAAAGGGAGCCAGGTTCATTGACTGCAGACAATTTTTCTCTCGGTACCCTGTCTGGGAAGCTCCCGTAAAGTCAGAAAGAGAGTATCCCTTGTCTCTGCAAAACAGGGTTCTCAGATAAAACGTTCCACGTTCACCTTACACATACTGCAGAACGGGCTGCGTTGCAGGAGGCTGTCAGACGGGCAAGGCAAAGCATGCTCCATAATACAGACTCCAAAGCAGTATTCTCCTCCAAATGGCAGTGCAATCTTATACCATACAGTGGGTTTCATTGACAAAGACCTCGCCTTGTGTATTTTATATTAGGTAGCTGCATGCCTTTTTTTTATTCCGCATGCTCAGCATGGCTCTATGCCTGTAAAATTTTAGAAAAGGAATTTATAATACCTTGCACATAGTTAGTGCTGTGGGGTATGTCACATGGAAGCTAGGTGAAATCATAGCAGGATGGCCCTCATAAAAAAAACTTTCAGTACTGGAGGAAAAAAAGGGCAGAAGGCAATTTTTGGATAATGGTGTTGTGAGGCCAGTTCTGTCTGCAAAAAGCTGATGAGAGCCCCAAAAGTCTCAGCCCCTTGCCCCCCTTGGAGATGCCACAGTGGTCCTGAGAAAAAGTGTCTACTGCTGTCTATACAAGCTTGCAGACGAGGCCAGGCATACTGTCGGCCTGTCTCTTATTCAGAAGTACATTCAATAAGCCAATTCCAGACCTAAAAATAAAAAATAAAGACGTTTCAAGAGATTTCACTCAGATTATAATATGGCAGGACTTTCTTAAAGGAATCCACAAAAGATGTTGTTACAAATAGCTAGAATTACTAGTACAAAAAGCAATGACCTTAGGAGAAAGTAAAAAAGAATCTTAATCATACAGAAGTATTTCCCCAATAAACATTATACCTTCTTGATTAAAGTGCCAAATCCCTCACTTCCCACCTCCCTTCCCTCCCCAAAACTGAATGCATTTATTTATTAAGGAGAGAGTTGACACTGAAATGCAGTGAAAGCATTACTCACCTGACTTACTGACTGTAATCTGCTTTTGTCTCCTTAGCGCCAATAGCTGCAGGAACAGGCCCTAATTTCTCCCTCTCAGATTTGGAAAGTTCTTCATACTACAGCATGAGCCCAGGAGCTATGAGGAGGTCTTTACCTAGCACATCCTCTACCAGGTAATTCAACTGGGACATGGCATTGGGTTGCTTGTGAAACCTAGATGACAGTCACTGCTCATCTGGAAAAGTTGTAGTTACATTATTGGGCGTGTTGTGTTGGGGGTAGGGAGCGTGTAACCTTTTCAGAATCGCAAAGCTGAGTGTTCATCCTAGCTTCAATGAAAGCTACTTATTTATATTCCAGCCTTGGAAAAAAGCTTCATAGAGGTCCCAGTTAATTTCTCATTTACACCGTTTATAAACACAAGTAATTCTGCTGAAGCCAATAATGTTGCACTGGTCCAAGAGGAGAATCAAGGGCACAATGGGACATGTCACTTCATCTTGATGATAAGGTCCTTGAGTATTTTTGCATGGAGCTCTTCCAAGTAGGGACAGCAGCTTGCATTATATACAAGGGAAAATTAGACACCAGACTTCATATATTCTTTATAAATTTAAAAATGTTAACAGTGAAAATGATATAGAGCTGAGGGCTTGGCCTTTAATATATTCACATTTTGATACGGCGTTAAGAATTTTGTGACAACCAAGCAACCGAATTTTTGATGCTGGCTGCTATCCAGTGCGAGCCTGTGGCTTAGATGCTAACTAACAGACAAGGGTATATATATTTTTTTTATCCTGTCCTTTTACTTTAACCATCCATGAGATTGGATTTATAAACAAGCCCGGTCATTACACCCATCTTGAACACTGTTAAGAAAACAGATTGATTTTTTCCCCCCCCAGTCAAAATGGATCCGTTTTTTCAGACATGATACACAATTCTAACTTCAAACTGGAGTGCTTTAGGTTTTGATCTCAGTCTGCAGTTCTACCAGCATTGCAAAAAACAAGCACACAATAAAAATGCCCTGTAGTTTGAGTGCAGCTGTCATTTTTATTTTCTAAAAAAGCTTTAAGACAGTCTCTTAGCAATAACTTTTTAGCTTACAATGTGCAGTGATTGAAAGAACATTCTGTATACTTGTGCTCCAGCAACACTGTGCAGCTCAGCAAATAAGGTTCTCATTACATGTGGCAGTAATCAGTTTAAAAGTTAGGGCTGTTTCTTTTTTCACATTTGTACTGCATACTGTACGTGCAGTGCTCATCATTGGACTCGCTTAGAGAGAGAGTTTTGTTGCAAGTCCAGGAGTGAAGAAGTCAGGTTACTTAAAAGCTCAGTTGTTCTCCTTCTATTTTTTTGCAAATAACTAGCACTGATAAGGAGCCTATTATAAACAGCATGAGTTGTTAATAACTTGCTAATATGTTTGTTTTCCTCTCATTAGGCCGCTCCCAATCAGAAAAAAAAAATTATTCCTTAAATACACAGACTCAGCAGAATTATCAGGCAATGACTGTATTGTATGCACAGAATTTACCCTACTGACATATAACAGGGGGGTTTTTAAATAAGGAATGGCAGAACCTGCATTCCACACATACCCAAACTATTCTCCCGATAGCTCATAGAAAACTTCAAAACCTTTCAGTTCTTACCTAAGCACATCTTTGGGTGAAGCCAAAGTCTGTCTTGCCTGAGTAAAGGCTTCGGGGTTGAGTTGCGTGGGTATTGTGCCAGCAGAATGTTTTATGTTCATGTAATAGGTCCCTGATACACAAAGCGATCTAATCTTGCTTCATGCTATAGCGTACTTGGTTCTTGAATGCTTTACAATTGATGGTAGAATACACCTTATGGCAGAGCTGTCCAACTGGTGTCCTGTGTGCTGCGTGTGGCTCACAAGGGGTTAACATGTGGCCCGTGGGCTCCTACGCAGCCACTACTCCTCTCACTGCTCTTGCAGCAGCCATAGCTGGGTTGTCTGGGCTCCCCTTCCCTCCCCCGGGTTCTGGCTCCTGCGTGGTAGGGGAGGTGCCAGGCTGTGCAACATTTTGCAAAGAAGGGAGCTAGGTTGTCCAGGCTGCACCTCCAGGTGGGCTGTCTGCACAACATGCACGGCTAGCAGGGAAATTGGGGTGCATGACCAGAGAGGGGGGCTGCACATGGCAGGGGAAAACTGGGCCATGTGCCTGGCTAGGAGGGTTGGGCTGTACACGTGGTGAAGGGCAATAGGGTTGTACGCACAACAAGGGGAGGGACTCAGAGGCTATGGTGTGCAGGCCCTTGGGTCTGTGGCCTGTACTGCATGCAGCCCCCAGCTGCCTCGAACTTGGAGAGCCCTGTCTTATAGGACAGAAAACCGAGAAAAGAAAATTGCCTGACCTGGCTTTGGAAAATGTCGTTAAGACAAATTCATCACAACATCTCTACTCGCTCTGTACATCTCATAATCAACTTAGCCACAGTTAAGGACGTTGGCTGCACATGTTGCTCCTCACACCATCGTCCTAACGCAGTCTTAGGGTGGTGTCACACATTCAATTTAAACTTGCTAAGTGCCGTTAAAAGGCAAGCAAACAACTGTTTAAGCAGTTAAGCCTCCATGGCATTGCATGGTTGTTCTCTTTCAGACCAGGGTTATCTCTGACCTAACAGGTACCAACTTTAATAAGTCATTCATTCCAGTGATGTGCAACTGTTGCAAGTGAATGGACACCACACTCTGGGACTCTTGAGCATAATGCAAGAGTCCTCCATTCTCCCAGGCTTTGTCTGAGTGTCATGCAGTGTATATGCTAGGAGAGGTACTGTATATGGCAAGTGATGTATGCGAAACAGGTTGCCTGTTGTGGACTCTCCATCCCTGGAAATTCTCAGTAGCAAGTTAGACAAGCTTTTGGCTGGGATGGTTTCATCAGGAATGATCGTGCCTTGAGCAGGGGCCTGGGCTGGATGGCCTTGCTAGTGAGGACCCTTCTAGACCCACTTTCTTGTGATACTATGTGCACTTTTAAATGCTTGGTAGCAGCAAAAGACTGTCGTGCCTCATTCATTGAGTAATTTAATTATAAACTTTTTATATATTGACTATGTCCTAGGAAAATTTGAATCTCTTTGACCAATAAATGAATCTTATCACTCACAGGGTTTTGCTTATTATTATAGGGATATTGTCATTACATTTCTTCAGAAAAAAATGTATTGCAGGAGGTGAGCAACAAGATAAGGAGACAGAAACAGGTGTTTAAAATGAGGTTCTACTTCTCACTATCACCAGCTAATTTGATAGCTAGTGAGACAGTGAATTAATGATGGAAAACAAATTGAATTTGGTAGGAATCTTTTTCTTTACTTCAGTGGGCCTTGGGCCTTCTATCTGTAAAAATCTAAGTTCAAAATAATTTGGGTTCCCATTAGAAATGAGTTTGGTGCTCTCAGCTTAGTCTCTATATGCATCAGAAAATCACAGTAACATTTGACACAGTTCAGAAGGCTTGGTAATTTTGGTATAAAGAAAGTTGAAATATGAAAAAAGTTGATCAGAATTGAGGTTATTGGGCCAGGTGTAGGGGGATAGCTGCAGAGACCTGGTATCACCCTCCACTCAATGCCAGAATGGTCCAGTACCACAAAATCTAGCCCTGTTGTTGTTTTCACCTGCTACAAAGGAAGATGCCAATATTTCCTTCCAAAATATGCAGTGTTATATGTTTTGTTACTTCAGCTCCACAAAGCGCCTCAAATCTGTGGAGGATGAGATGGACAGTCCTGGTGAGGAGCCATTTTATACAAGCCAAGGGCGCTCTCCAGGAAGCGGCAGTCAGTCGAGTGGATGGCATGAAGTGGAGCCAGGTAAGCTGCAGTTTTCAAGTCATAAATGTTCCTTCCAGTTTTTTCAGTTTCCTAAGAGAACAAATATTCTATCAAAGGACAATTAAAACAAACTATAATTTGCTCTGGGACAGGCAGTCTAATGAGAATACTGTTGTGGTTTGATTGCTCTTGCACCAGCAAACTTCTTTACAGTGCATTGCATTTGTATTTTGGCCAAGTATCTGGAGTAGTTGAATAATGAAGCAAAAGATATGCTCTTCTTCTCAGGGAAAACTTTCAGATCCAATCATGGAGTATCAGTGATAGCAACTTGGCAGAAAACAGCACCTGACCAGGCAGTGGACCATATTTTATCCTGTTGTGAAATATGGCTGTTTATTTAATTTAAAAACAAAAAAACCCCAAAGTCCCCATGAGATGCAAGGATTTTTGAAGGTTATATAACATTTGAGTTTACTCTGCAACGGCTTTCTAAGGGATTTGATAAGGAGTGTCATTAAAGCAATGAAGTTGGAAGGAAGACTGTGCTGAAAAACTGTGTTGAACTTAAGAACGTCTAGCAGGCAGCTGTGCTTTCCCTGAGTTAATTAGCCCGTATACGTCTGTTTCTTGTTGGTCTTCCATTGAATTGTATATGTACTTTAATGTCTCTTGATCAGCTATCTTGGTGCTAACTGAATAGTTAATAGTAGGAAAATTACTTTCCTGATATGTTGGCCCTTAAATGAGCAAAATGAATGCTACAGATCTGTGTTCTAGGTAGGGTTTCTGTTATGTATCATGAATTTGCATTATTTGCCGAGCACCGAAAAACTGTTTTGTCTTCCACCACTCAGTATTTTACCAAATCATCCATAAATGTCTTAATGGTCCTTCTTGCTATATACTTTTATTTATATATTTTCATTTATTTCAATTTAAGATGATAAAGGTGCCTTTCCTAGGCTTACAGCCCCCTAATTAATCATATAATATACAGAATTAGCTTAAACCTCAGCAGCATTTAAATCAGTTCCACAGGAACTTGGCCAGTCAGCTCGCCACCTATCCCTTCCATCATGTATGAAACATACCCTCAGCCTTCTCCAGAGAGCCTGTCGAGCAGATGTCTTTCACAGCATGCCCCCAAAATCACCAAATCTGGGGTATTTTCGCTTAAGGAGGAGCATATTCCAGAGCTTCAGAACTCGCAGAAAATACCCCGCCAGGTGACATCTCTTGTTTAATGAGGGTGCCGCATCATTAGTGTTTCTGCTGATTGCAGTTATGACAGTATGGCATGGAGAGAAAGTGTCAGTCCTTCAGAAACTACCCTGAACAGAGTGGAGCTGATGTACTGGCAGTGCTGATCCTGGAGCACCGGTGTTATGTACTCCCAAGGAGATTTCCCACACAGTGAAGCAAGCTGCTGCTTTCTGCACCAGCTTCACTCTCTGAGTGTTTTTAAGGCATAGCCTCCAATAGAGCCTACTGCAGTTGTCCAATCTGGAGGTGACAAAGCATGAACAGCAGACTCACACCTGGCAGAAAAAATCCCAGACACTAATGGTGGACATAATTGGTTTGCTGTTATAATTCCTGCTTGAGCCTAGAGGCCTACAGTCACTCCCAAGTTGTGATTATTTTTAACTCCTGACAGATGTACCCCTTCAGATACATATCCAAGGGGTGGGTATTATATCTGCCAACTCTGCACGCTATCATCAGCTCAGTCTTATGTGGGCTGCATTCAGCCAGCTCAATTCTGATTTCTGCCCAATCTTGACTAGACAGTGGCGAAGGCACTAAACTGCATTCTTCAAATCAGATAAGATGAGACATATGGTTGGGCTTTGTCCATGCCTTGTAAGCCCTTGTGACTTCTGGCCAACCTTTCCCATGGTGAAAAGGAGGATGGCAGAATGGCACTGAGCACTCTTTATAAAAGGGGGCAGTAGCCCACTGCCCACAGCTCTTTTTCCAAGAGAAAAGCACGTTGCTATTGAAGAGCATCTGTGCTTGATATCATGACTCTCCATTCTTCAGTATCACATAGGCAACAAATATCAAAGGTAGCTGGTAGATCTACTACCAGCTTGGATACCCAATCAGCATCCACTGCTAGGAGGAAATCAGAGGCCAAACTGAGCAGTGCAGTACCTGAATTATAGCCAAATCTGTACCCTGATAGATTCGATCCAAGGAGAGTTGTTGTACCACCACCCTCCACGCAGTCTTATCTGAACAGGGGAGGTCTGCTGCTGGTTAGTAACAAGCCGGATTGTCAACATGCATTGAAGGCCACACTGTTGATTCTCCTAAATAGGTAGCCTGCCTGGACTATCTCCACAGTTGAGAGACTCAGTATTTCTGTAATGGCCTTCATTCAAGACTGTCAGCAAACTCGAACCTCCTACTGAACTAAGGCATTCTTAATTTACCATGTAGCTAAAAGACACTGACTCTCATAGTTTGTGCAGAAAAGAAGAAAGTGTTCTTTGACTTCTACCGAGCCAGGAGTTTTAAAAATATCTTTACACTGCAACTAGTTAAATTTAGATCAACCCCAAACTGATGCCATAGAAGTTGTCCATCTTGCTTCATTTGTCTCTGACCATCCATAAATCAGAGTGACTTGTAGGGCAAAGCTGACAAAGAGGACACTTTGAGGGCCATGGTAGTAGACACGAGTCCTCAGTTGTCCTGCCAACCTATGAAGGAAGAGGTCTGCCCTTCAGAGCTCTAGCTAGCAGAGACTAACAGCTTATCTCCTGTTTTGATGCAGCACAAGTTACTGTACCTTATTCCCTAAATCCAACACAGGAAGTGAACATTTGGTTCTTATCTCCACCAGCACAGAATGCTTTATGAGTCTGTGACAGGGCAAATATTTTGGTCATCTGAACAATGAAATGATGCACTGCTTCTTATTACTTCGTCTGCTGCTAGGATGTTCCTCCTGTCAGAATAGCAAGGAGACCTTACCTGAGGGCTTGGAAATTTACTCCCAGCCAGTTCCGAAATATCCTTCCTACTCCCCATATTGTCCCAATAAGGTTCATACCAGGTATTTAATTCCAAGTGTAAAGCAAAGCAAAAACCCTACATTTTTAAGGTGTAATAATGCCTTTGGGCTTAAATACTTAATTAAATATGGCTTAATTTAATTAATTACATTGAACAAGTGCCCCCCCCCTTTTGGTACCTTCCAACTTGTTTTTTCTGTCTTTGCACCAATGTGTGCCTTTGAGGGCACTTGGGGTGCATACAAAATGATTGGAAAGTCCCCTCCCTGCAGAAGAGTCACTCCATGACTGCTACTACAAACTACACAGGGATTCCTGGGTAACCCCTGCTCCCGAAGGCTTTGGGTGACTGGATCTGTGCTATATGAAGATGACCAGCCGCACCAGTTGTCTGTTCATTGTGGTGACTCTCAACTCTTGATTGAATGTGGAGCTCCTAGTGTTGGCTCTGACCAGCATCCCACCCCCCCAGTCGCCGCCCCCCCAACCATTGGCAGGCTTTCCACCGAATTCTAGACATTGCAGGCCCAGGACTTGGCCATGTGATTATTACCTCTGGGGGACTTTTCACAAACAAGTGTACAGGGCTTTATTTACACATCAGACGTGACATCCAAAGCAAAAACCATCATTAATTCCATGTTCCTCATAGTGTACTCACTGAGTTTCACGTCCATTTATCTGTACACAAATGCTCCTGGGGAGTTCTCAGGCCTGAAAAGGCAGGAGTCTGCCAGAAAAGATGAATTTCCTTTCACAACAGGAAGGCTTGGAAAGTAAAACAAAGTAGACATGTAGTAAATTACTTCTGCTTTTCAAATACCTTTTGCAGGATCCTCCTTTCCATTACTTTATCTCAGCACTTTCAGTACATAACTCTTGTTAACTGAAAAGAAGGGCAAGAGAGGATAAAGATGATGTTAGGTAAAGAAAATCAGGCAGGTTCAGTCTGGTTTTGGACTTGGTAAAAATGCTGGCTTTGTGCACACTTGTTGTATGTGTATTTCTGAACTGGTTTAAAGCTGTAATTAAGAGTAAAAGCTTGCATCTTCAGATTTCGGTTCCATCATGATCAAACGTACCTAACTACCACTTGGTTCCCTATTGCCTGTGAGATGGAGCTCCTCAGTGCACACCCTCAGTACACTTGTACAAAGGGTTTCTAATACCGTTGTTGAAGAACAGTTTAGTTAGGATAGTTTGCACATTATCAGTCTACCTATTGTCCTTTCTTTATTTCATCTGTTGATGGGAAGCTCTTCCTGGTACCAAGACTTAGAACTGCCTGTTCCTGCAGCTTTCAGTATTCCTTACTGGGCATGTCTACATGTGCAATTAATGCGCATGAGTAAACTCTGGAGCTTATTGCTTTGGAGTTAATTGCTCCCAAGTGCATCATTTGAATGTGCGCCTGGGAGCAATAAACTCCATAACAATAAGCTCTGGAGTTTATTCATGCGCACCACTTTGAGCCAGGTTGGAACAGCCCTGACTGGCAGGGAGTCTGGGGGGTTAGCCTGCCAGCCCAGGGCTGCTCCCCCTGGCTCAGTGTGATGCAGAGGGTCTGGCTGGGGCACTGGGGTGCTTCACTGTGGGGCTAGCTGGCAGGCAGCCTCTTCATTGAAGCACCCTCATGCCCCAGCCACCTGGGAAAGCATCTTCATGTGTCCTGCTTCAGAGTTTTTTACTCTGCAACAGGATATTACTTGTATTTACAAGTACTATTCTGCTGTGGAGTAAATTAGTTTACTCCAGCCTAATAGGGGCGCATGTGTAGATGTGATACAGTTACTGTGCAGCTGATTAATCAACTGCCCAGTGAATGTCTCGTGTAGATGTGCCCACTATGGCTTGGGATGGGCATATTCCAGAAAAGAGGATCTGAAGGTGAGAGAGGCATGATTTACACTCTTTTTGTCTAGGGTAAGCAGAAGGAAAGTTGGGACATCCAGGACACTGGCCTCACCCCCCAGGTCAGCAGCACTGCTGCAGGCAGTGGCAGAGGTCAGCAGG